ATAGATCTACTAAGGGACTTACTGGAAGAAGAGCTTTGTTTGATAGGCAGTCATTTGGAGCCCATTTTTCCTCATTTAGTAGGAATTCCCAGGCTAAATCATTGTTCTATTTATATCAATGACCTCCTTTCTAAGGCTGATCAGCTGAGCACCAAAGACACATCTTTAAAAGAAGTATTTGGGTCAAAATCAGAAACCAAAATAAATGTAATTAGACTTTTTTTAAAGATTGAAGGGATGTTTTGAGATACTTTTATCAGTAAATCTTTAGTTAAAATTATTTCCATTTGAATTAAAATTGTCATTATGTAGAATTACCTTGGATGTATTTAATTGAACTCAACAAAGTGGATCACTAAATATCAGCTGTGACAAATCATTCTCAGTATTTGGAGTGTGTGTGTGTGTGTGTGTGTGTGTGTGTGTGTGTGTGTCCGTGTGCATGCGTGTACCCAGAGAGATAGAGACAGAGAGGCAGAAACAGGGCTAGAGGGGGACAGAGACAGAGACAGACACATGCTCACATTTGGGGTAGGAACTGAGTATAGTTCAGATATGGGAATTTCCAGAAGAGCTTCTGACCCTTGTGCGGAGAGTGGAAGAGAGACACAGAGCCTGTGCTAGCAGCCAGTGTTCAGGGGAAGGAACACTTCTCTTTTTTTCTGAAAGCACTTTGATTTTTGGGAAAAAGTGAGTATCTCCGTAAATATTATATTCCTCTTACATCACATACCAGGATTCTTCAAAATTGAGAATTAGCTGCCTTATACCTGGATCCCTATTTTAAAATGCCAGGTGGGGCTTCTGGGTGGATTTTTAAAAAGTATCCTCTGTTGATTCTTATATAAGTGGTACTGCGTTGTGCATTTGAAACTATTTTGTAAGGGACAGTAGACATTACTGATCCCGAATGGAGAACTTGGTACATTTTAAAGTGTTCAGTAAAACTCTAAGTATTTTGATACTGTGATATGGTCCAGCGGTTAAAAAATTTAATCTTTCCTGGAGGGCATATAGACTTACACACACACACACACACACACACACACACAAACACACACACACACACACACACACACACTCACCAATGTGATTTAGACTATCATGGAGATAGAAATTTTTTCTGTGCAAGCAGGCAGAAGAAGGTTTTAGGTCCTTCCCCAACCCCACAAAAGAAAAATAGGAAGGGGAGGAGAAAAGAGAGAGAAGGAGGGAAGGAAAGAAAGAAAGAGAGAGACAGAGACAGAGATAAAGAGACAGAGATAGAGAGAGACAGAGAGACAGAAAGAGAGACAGACAGAGATGAAGACAGCGAGTGTTACAGATCCAGAAATATAACACCAAAACTTGAACAAAAGAGGGTTGAGTCCTGATATACAAAGTTCCTCTTGATTCCAATTCAGTTACCTCTTGATTTTGAGCCAAAAGGATCAAGAGAGCTATGTTAGTCTGTCAGGATCTAAAACAAATTCTTTTAAGTGATTTACAACTAAAGTAAAGGATATAGGTGAGATGAGTACACAGCTCCGTGAAATTTATTTGTGCTGCCTTTGTTCTGGGTTAATATGAGGATTTGGATCCTAAAACATTGAGAAAAGATATGCAAAGGGAGATGAATTATTTAGACTTTGATAAAGCTTCTGTGGTGATACGTGGGGCAGAAATTGTACACACTATTTTTCTTAAGCCTTCTCCTACATTCAGATATGATAGTCCCTGTTCAAATATTTGCATAAGTTTTATCCTTGTCCCACTACATGCTTAGTTTAGCCATCTTTATTCTTATGCAGTGTCATGGGAGAACAGGCAGGGACTGCTCAGAATAAATGAGATGCAGGATTTTAGATGCTGTCTCCTGTACTTAAAACCCTATAGAAAGAAACACTGAGGTAATTATAAAGGACCTAAGAACACAGCAGAGGTTTTAAAGAGATTGTACACAGTCTGCTTACAGTATTAACTGCTTCACTCTGGTGTAGCCCAAAGACATAATGTCAAAAGCAGCTGGAATTGATATAGAATGCTGTATATTTTCTGCTCTTTATGAAGGCAAGTCAACCAATTAATTTGAAGGAGATTCACTAAAATGTTCATATAGAATGCATTTATTTCTGTTATACTTGCAGAGAGACTGCCTTTGGTAGAGGGAGAAGCCGCATTAGTGAGGTGGTTTCTCCAAGATTTTTAGGGTAAGATAGTAGGTGCTCCTGGAAAGGAAGAAAAGCATCACACAAACATTACGTACGTGTCACAGACGTGTGCATACCTAGAAGGTTGTAAGGGGCCACCTGTTCACTCGTGTTCTCGTTGATGTTATTCACCAAGTGTTTGTCTCTCTCTCTCTTTTGCATTTTTCTATCTGATTTCCTTTAAGTGTGGCCACATGACTTTCTTTGTTGAATGAATCCTGGGAACAAGCTGCATGTGTCGCATTTCGGAGGGAGTGTTTGAAGTTTTGCTCCATCATGAAGTTAGATGGTTGCTGCAACACAATTTAGCTTAGCTTATGAAATCAGAATTTTCTAGAGATTTCTGTGTGTGTGTGTGTGTGTGTGTGTGTGTGTGTGTGTGGAGGCTGGGCATTTATAACTGGGAATTTTACAACCTAACACTGACCTTATTTATTCATGTGTTCTTTTTTGCATAGCATCTTGGTTCTCGTATTTTTTAAATTTATTTTTATTTTTTTGTATTTTAGTGAGGGTCTACAGGTTCTACAGGGTCTCACTACATAGAGATCCTGCATGCTCAGTCTCAATCGCCATCTCAGCATGACTAATCTATGTAGTGATTGGATCAGTATGAGTCATACTGGATCATGATCATGTATGGAATTTGGTATGAATTTGTTTTATGTACATTGTGCATGCATGCATTTTGTGTTCATTTATTCATTTATCTTATAAATGCCTGTAATCCCAGCTCTTGGGGAGCCTGAACACAGGTGGATCACTACAAGTCCAATCTATGTAGTGATTGAATCAGTATGAGTCATACTGGATCAGTATGAGTCTGAACTCCCTGTAGACCCTTCCCTAACATACAAAAAAAAAAAAAAGAAAGAAAGAAAGAAAGAAAAAGAAAAGAATGGGATGGTCTGAAGATTGGCAGTGGACACTGCATTATTAGGGGAAAGTGGTAAACAGTAACATTTGGACATTTATTTTTTACAAGGTGACTTCCTCAGTGAGAGTCCTTTTGGAGAACTGTATTTTACCCCTTGGAGTAAAACTTCTGCCAACACCTATTACACTGCCTTTCTATTTTTATGGCATAAATTAAGCATAATTTTATTTCTGTTTTCTGGCATCTGAGTGCAAGTGTTAAGGTAAATTGTTTTAGTATCTTGATAGGTCTGAATGCAATTAATCATTTAATGCATATTTTCTGATAATCAAGGGATGAGACTCTGATAATCAAGTGTGTGGCTGTACTTCCAGGAGCACCCTGAGGGTTTTCATAATATTTGTAAGCTAGTACTCAAAGAATCTTAAGTAGCTTTTTAAATCCTACCGTGTTACAATGCATTCACATTAAATTCATCTACTGACGTTAAATCTTAATTGGTAGAATAAAATATTGAGTCACTAGGGTGTACTTTTTCCTATCGAGATCTATGTGGCACAAAGATCTCTATGATATTTGTGAAATCAATAGGAAAAATAAGCAAATAATTAAAATGATTGGTATAGTAATCATGGTTAACATGCTTAGCTAACTTATTCATTTCTTAGGTACTTATTAAATAGCTATATGCTATGCACTGTGAAGACAAATATGACAAATATATGTCAATCTTTTGATGTGCTCATGTCTCAGATGGAAATATTTATTATTAATGCATACATAATTTTTTTTGTGGTACCAGGGATTGAATTCAGGACCCTGTGCTTGCCAGGCAAGCGCTTATTCTACTGAGCTATCTCCCCAGCCCAAACCATTGAAAGTTTCACAGAAAATATAATATTCAAATAGGGTATTTAATACAATATTTATCACATCATTCTCATTAATAATACAACAATTGAGGGTTAACCACCACATCTAGAGTAGGTCACTAAAACATTTATCTCTGAATATAAATTATATCTAACCTTTATGCAATGTTCTATGCTTTGGAAATTTGACCACTTTAATCTGGGGCGCATATTTTAAATATATAAGAACAGCAATGGTAATTCGGGATAGATCCTGACAACAGAATTAAAGCAGATTCTGGAAAGATCCTAGAGACCTTCATTAGATCTTTAATAATGTGGCCATGGTTGGGTCCTTGCAATTCAACTTATTATCTCACAAATATAACTAATACTAGTTTCTTCTATTCTTTAGAATAGTCTTGGAGGTGAAAATTTTTTTTACAGTATTTCACTATAAGATGAGGCATACTGTAATATACATATATACAATGCTTTATGCAATTAATAGTGCTGAGTATGGATTTGAGAAATTTTAAGTATCGACATTATTAAAAGAATAAGTAGAAAGCAAACCTGATGGCAAATTACAGTTACTCTGTGTGTGTGTACCATTCGGGAAGGTGAAAAAATTCAGAAAAGCATGCTTTCCAAAGAAGGATGATTGAAAGTTTGAAGAAGATGAGTGGGTAGCTCCTGAAAAGGTCCTAATTCGGAAATTATCTGGTAAATATTGCCAGTTTTATTTTTGTGGGAAATAACCATTTTATATTCCAGTTGCTCCTAATTTCAGTGATCATCTATGGCTATAATGAACAGCCCTAGAGGGAGATGTCAGTATTTGATTGCAGCTGTTTGCAAACTCTGCTGTGATTACGCTCAGTTGTCTAATTGCCTAATTTATTGATTTTTCCTGACATGTTTTTCATCAACATTTGTGACTGCAGATAGCTAATCATTTCTGTGTGGGCTCATTATCATGTGTTTGCATTTGATTTGTCTGATCCCTGCAGGTGGAGACAATAGGGGACGCGTACTGTGTTGCAGCAGGCCTGCACAGGAAGAGCCTCTGCCATGCCAAGCCCATCGCTCTGATGGCCTTGAAGATGATGGAGCTTTCAGAAGAGGTGCTGACGCCCGATGGAAGACCAATCCAGGTAACCTTGGCAACAGTCTGGATGAGCGGTCCAGGCCTCTCTAGCGAAAGGAGACCAAAAATATTCTTCTGTTGTGATTTATAAATATATACCAGTCAGATTCTTAAAGAGGGGCAAGGAATGATGAGCAGTAATTCACAGATCCAGGAAGTGAAAATGGAATATGGTACAAAATAGGAATAGGAGTGTGGAAGGCATGTCACCATAAAAAGAAGAACTAAAGGATTAGGCCAAGGAGACTTCACTGCTAATGACCAAGTCATTAAGTCCAAGCATTGACGATGGTGAGAATAGTAAGAGTTGGAGAGATAATCCAAAGAGAAAATGAGCTGGGAGTGGTGGTGCACATCTGTAATCCCAGCATTCAGGTGGACGAACAAGAGGTTCTCTACAATTCCAGGTTAGTCTTGGCTACATAGTAAGTTCAAGGTCAGTCTGAATTACAAAGCAAGACTCTGTCTCAAAAAAAAAAAAAAAAAAAAAAAAAAAAAAAAAAAAAAAAAGAAAAACGTAAAGGAAAGGGAAAGGGAAAAAACAAAAAAAGAAAAGGAAAAACACTAAAATAAATGAGAATCAAGACAGGGATCTTTAGAGCATCTTAGAGGTAGGAATACAAATATTCTATATAAAATCTCAGAACTCAAAGGTTTTTTTGAAAATTATTGTGAACCACATAATTTTGAAATTATGTGGTGAAGCTTGATGGCTGGAGCCCAATGACTGTGGAAATTTTAGAAACTGAAAAATCCAGCATCTGGTGTGTTGTGCATTTTTTGGTACCAGTGGCTTTCTGTGATCTCAGTTCTACCTCTGGGAATAGTTAAGGTCCTCTACCTGTCTGTGTTTCTGCCATACTTCCAGGACACGTGCCAGACCCATCATTACTGCGGAGGGCTGGACAACCAGGAATCTTGAGTGCAGAAAATTCCAGGAAGCCCTTTTAGGAAAGCTCGCTAACTACAGGTTTAGAGAGAAAAGCACGGGGAGCAAAGGCTACAGTCTGTGAGAATGGTAGTCCTGGCCCTGTGGCAAGGCCAATACCCAGAGTAGCACTTTTGATTGCACTTATTAAAATCCTGTCTAAAATTTTATAATAGTATCTTTAAAATAAAAACCTATTAAGCCCACAACTGAACTCAGAGAAAAAGATAAGGTGTTCTAATTACATTGTATAGAGATTTAAAATTTTTATTGGTGTATTTAACTTCAGTGATCTTAGCAATGTAGTAGAAAAATGAAAAACTTCTGTTCCTGGAAGCCATTAATTTCCATTATATCCTCAATGAATATTTGCAGATAAAGTGCTCTCATAAAGTGAGTGGCAAATACTAAAAACAAGGACGATGACAATCACAAACAGAACAATAGCAAAAAAGAAAACATGCAAAGAAGAAAAGAAAAAAGTGCTATGGCTCAGACTCAGTAGAAACTGTACATGAAGAAAAACAGATCTGTAGTTTGCAGATATCAAAATTATCAGGTACAGATTTAAGCTGATAATATTTAATATAACGAAAGAAAGGAGAAGCTGGGAAGTGTGAAGGACAAAGTAGATGGGAAAAATAACCAGAGACCTTCTAAGTAATCATGTACTTTAAAAAGAGACGAGAGCCCAGTACGGATGAGTATAAAAGTCGTTTAGACACAGACGAAGAAAGAATTTGTACATCAAATGCTAGAACTGAAGAATTATCAGTAATTGAATTGGAGAACTGAAAATGGGGAAGTATGAGCATAGGAAGGTAAGATATAAGCTGTGGTGTTTCAGAGACGCTGTGTACGTTCATTAGCTACTGCTATTGCCATGGATGGATGTAAATACTATTAGGTATTAGGGCCAGTGAGATAGCTCAGCGGACTGAGTGCTTGCGTAGGCAAGCTCAGGCGCTGGGTTTGATCCCTGGCAGGAGTGCCTTGCGGGCCCCTCCCCCGGGTGCACTGAGCTGCGACAGAGTCCGGGCGTGGTGGCGCATGCCTGTAATCCCACCAGGGAGGCAGAAAACAGGAGGATCACAACAAGTCTGAGCTGTAGTGAGACCCTAAAAAAACCCAAAACCCAAAAACCAAACCAACAAACAAAAAAACCCTATTATGTATTAATGTAGTAGTATTATATATTAATAGCATTACAAATAAACGTAAATAGAATAGTATTATCCTATTTAATTAAGGTTCACAATTGGCAAAATTTTTTTTGTAGTATGCTACTTAGAAATATCTACATTGATAGAAAAGTATAAAGGGAAGAAGGGGATGATTAACAGAGAATTCAAGAAAGAGTTCTTCTCAGAGGGACAGAAAGAGGACCAAAGGAGGAGGGTGTGCAGGAAAACTGCACTTAGTGCCAAACTGTTCTTTTTATTGCTGGTCTTTAATGTGGGAAAACATGTTTATTTTCGATTATTTATTTATTTATTATTATATTTTAGTACAGGGTCTCACTACACTGATCGGACTTGTAGTGATCCTCCTGTTTTCAGCCTCCCAGCGCTAGGACTACAGGTGCGCACCACCACGCCCGGTCTCACATACATGTTTATATTTCACCATTTAAAAACATCAAGAGAGTTTTCTGGTCAGTCTCACCAGAGGTGAATATAGCAAAGTATTAACCGCTAAGAAAGAAGAATAGATCGAGGGGGACAGCTTGGCTGTCTAAGCGCCTGCCTGGTAATTGCAAGGACCCAGGTTGGAACCCTGGTACCATGTGGTGTGCCGGCCCCACGCTGTGCAGGCCACTGAAACCAGGAGTAGAGGCTCATGACTTTAATCCCAGCACTGTGAGGTTGAGACAGGAGGATCCCTACGAGTCTGAGCTGTGTAATGAGGCCCTCTACCAAATACATAAATAAATCTTTAAAAAACTAAGTTAAATCACTTCAGGGAATGATTATTGCTATTGAATTATATGAATGGTATTTTGGCCATGTTCTAGACAGACTTTATAGCAGTTCTTAAATTTTCAAGTTTGTCAGCAGAGCAGTCTTATTGTTTGGAACTGTTTTTCTAGGTTGAATTTTCTTTGGCAGGGTAGATCATACTTGAAATTGGTTTCAGCATTGTCAAAGCAAACTTAAATTTCCAGAGATCAAAACCAGGGAATTATACCTTCCAGTGTGCTCATCAAGATTTTCATTTTGTGGGATGTAACATTTGCTCTGTCTTATGAATCAGAGAGTCTTATTAAATCAGAAGAGGAAATGTCCATAAAGATTTAATAAGAATGCAAATGGAGAATTAAAAATAATAAAGGCACTGTAACAATTTTAGCTTCTTCACTAATTTATAGTTTGTGCATGGTTTGGGATCCTTTCTTGGCGTATTAATTTGATTTCAAAGGGCCTTCTTGCTTGGTGCCATGGGGACATCTCTAAACTTATTGAGAGACTCTTTCATTTGAAACACTTGGTGTGACGGAAAGGATCATGTGATCAGTTGCCTTTTTGCTTCAAATTAGATACGTCTGTGTTATGCAACATGTAAAGTATATATATTGTGATAATTGCTCAAATATTTTCTAAATCCACCAGAATTTAAAATAACTTTTCTTTTTAAAAGATAAAAAAGCTTTTATTTTAGTTTACTAGTGCATATGTATAGTATACAATATTTACATTCTCGGAGGGATGTTGGCATTTGTACATAACACATCTCAGGATTTCTATGTGATTTTATGATTCTATGGTGGGTCATCCCGTAATGATGGCAAGTGGGAACCAGAACAGCGAATCATAATTGCTTGGAAGAGACTTATAATGTCTCAGACTCATTAATTTTAAGACTGCCTGAAGGTATATTTTAACTTGTAAAATGTTATTACTATGTGTTTATGATATATGATAATCACATTCATCATTTTAT